AAATTAGAAGAAACATTGAATCAGTTCATGCAGGTCTCAATCTGTAACCACAAGAGTACTGAAGCATCTATAAAGAATTTGGAGATTCAAATGGGGCAGCTGGCCAAACAATTGGCTAAAAATTCTGGTGGAAATTTTTCAGCCAATACTCATACTAATCCAAAGGAGAATTGTAGTGAAATTACAAAAAGAGGTGGTAAGAGAGTGGGTGTGTTGGAGGATGAGGAAGAGCAACAAGAAAAAGAGGTAGAAATGAGAGAGGGAGGTGGAAAAAATAATGAAAAAAATAAAAAAATAGAAAATGCAAAAGAGAATGTCATAGAGGGAGAAAAGTTGGTTAAGGAAGTTGTTATTAAAAAATCAAAGAGCCAGCTAGCAAGAGAATTGAAGATGAAACCCAAGGTGTCTAGTACCAAGGATATGCCATATCCCCTAGTCCCAAGCAAAAAGGACAAAGAGAAGCAATTTGCACGCTTCATGGAGCTTTTTAAGAAGCTTCAGATCAACATTCCATTCTCAGAGGCATTGGAGCAGATGCCCACTTATGCAAAATTCATGAAAGACCTCTTGAAAAAGAAGAGAAAATTCATTGAGCAAGAGATTATTGAGTTGGAAGCGAGGTGCAGTGCCATAATTCAAAAGAACTTACCTCCCAAGTTCAAGGATCGTGGAAGTTTTACAATTCCAATCACTATTGGTTATGGTTCTAATACCTTTATCTGTAAGTCAACTCCTAACCATTACTCGTTTTTCATTCCATTATAATTGAATGATAAGAACAACGGTTCATGCAGGGGATACATTAGTTTGTCCCATTACTCCTATTTCATGGCCCTCCTTCTTATATATGCATGATTACAACAATTTAGGACCAACCGAAATCATTCACATCCTAAAGCATTTGAAATTCTAAAACATCCACTTTCAAGTCCCAACACATGCTAAACGACTATGGGTGGTCTAATAATTCTCTCTCCCACGATCTCTTCTCTCATTTATATTATGGTTCTGATACCTTTATCTGTAAGTCAACTCCTAACCATTACTCGTTTTTCATTCCATAATAATTGAATGATAAGAACAACGGTTCATGCAGGGGATACAGTTTACTGCTGCCCTATTTTATTCCAATAAACATTCATTATCCAAAACAAGGAATCCTCGACATTGTCAATACAGTTTTAGCCATTTGTTTCTAAAGTTTTTCTATAATTTGTGGCTCATTCGTTTCCTGCTTTAGGCAACACATAGTAATTATATATAGTCAGTTAGTTTAGTACTCCCAGCGTCCCGTTCTATCATCGCTACAAAAGCATTTTGATTTTCCAAGGGTCATTGCTTCTTCCATTTTCCTAATCAAGGAGCACGATCACATGGAATATCATTTACAGTTCAAGACCTATTGTTTTTCTTTAAGACAAATTTTTCTTTATTTGGTCTGGAAACATCAAACCTATGCTTCTTGCATTTAAGGTCATGGATTCATCCAAAAATGTGTTATATAAAAGCATTGGTTCTTTGGCTTCGAAAAACTTATAACTATAGATATAGATAATAAGCCATGGCAATGGTATAAGAGAAAGCTTCGTGTACATGAGTAGGCCAGTGTTAATCAAGTTCTTAAGTAAACCTTGATGTTAAGTTCATTGTTACTCTGCACCTTCCTTGGCAGGGAAGCTACCTCGTGTGTTTGAGGCCTTGGCACCTCATGATTTTAATTTCATATATATGTATAATTTTAATAAAATATATTTTGACTTGGTCCAAAATAAATTTATCTTTCTCTTGGTCTTAGGAAAAATACTTTAGCTCTGCCCATGAAAGGAATCATCGGTTCTATTCATGCTGTGAAATTTATCAGAACAAAGTCATTTTTTTTTTATAGAAATGAACCTCACTCATACAGGGAGAAGTGAACATTATATCAAGTAACATAAAACACACGAGTTTTTTTTTAGTAGTTGGCAGTTGAGATTTTTCATTGTCAAAATTAAATATTTTAGTCTCTATAATTTTCTGTTTTACTTGTAAGTTTAATTACAAGTTGCTTATGTTCAAAAAAAAGTAAATTGTGCTTACAAATGATATTTGCTTGTTAGTTTAGCCATAATTTTCTGTTTGTTTTACTCAATCAGAGATTAATTAATTTTAGTATTTAAACACTTGTAACACTTTCAATGTGTGCAAAATTGAGTTCATAATTTGATAGAGGTTACTTTATGATATTTGTCTGAGGGGATATTTTATAAGAGTTAATTTCAAACCTGAATGACTTTTAATAACCACTGTTCCTTTGCCTTTTACTGTAAGGTGTGCTCCATTTCCCGTTTGGACTTTAGAGATATCAATTTTGTTGAGTTCTTTGAAGAGTTCTCGGCCATAAGTCATATGGTTTGTACAACCACTATCAATAATCCAAGCTTTTGAGGGTTTTTTTGGTCATAAAGCATGACATTGAAAGTAGTTGTTCTTCTTCCTCTTCTTGTTGATCTTCAACAATGTTGGCTTCTTCTTGTTGCTCATGAGATTTGCATACATGTTTTAGGTGTCCTAATTGTCTGCACTTGTCACATTTTAAATCAGGTTTCCACCAACATCTCTGTTGTGGATGATTAGTCTTTTTGCAATAAGGACATGGTGAAAAATTTTGAGTGTTATTATTTTGAGTGTTCTCTTGGAACAATTCCTTCTTCTTATTTTTGCCACCATTGTTGTTCTTCCATTTGGCTAAATATACACCCTCCATAGATCCTTCTTCTCTCATGAGCCTCCTTTGTTCTAATGCTTGCAATGCATGTAACACTTCTGCCAAAGTGATCTTACTCAGATCCTTTATGTTCTCCAAGGCCGCTATTGAAGCTTCATATCTTTCGGGTATAGTTACTAAATTTTTTTCAACAATTCTAGAATCAAGAAATTGCATTCCTAGTAATTGTACCTTATTATCAATGCCAACCAATTTGTCAGAGTATTGTTTGATTGTCTCAGTCTCCTTCATTCTTTGAATTTCAAATTCTCTCATTAAATTTAATACTTGCATGCTTCGAATCCTTTCATTTCCGACATATTCTTCCTTTAGGTAATCCCAAATTGCTTTTGCTGATTTGAGAGTCATAATCTTAGTGAAACATTTTGTAAAATACAGGCAAAGAGACAATTTTTTGCCTCTGCCTTCTTGATTTTCTTTTCCTTGTAAATTTTCATTTGGGCTACGGTAGGATTTTCTGGCAATGCAGAAACATCATAATCTTCTTCTACGGCTTCCCAGAGATCTAAAGCTTCTAGGTATGCTTCCATTTTCACCGCCCAAAGATCGTAACTTTCTCCATCAAAATAAGGTGGAGAAATTTGTGAAAAGTTTTTTTTTGCTTCCATCTCCAAGATTCTAACCTTAGCTCTACTACCAATGATGGAGTTATTTTATGATATTTGTCTGATGAGATATTTTATAAGAGTTATTTTATCAAAAGAGCATAATATAATTTTATTCACGAGTCTTTATTTATAGAGAAAATTTGTTATACAAAATCAAATATTGATATTATCCTATTCTAAAAATAAGGAAACAAATCCTAAAATAAAAAATAGATTAAATCTAAATATTTGAAATATAATTCTCCTAAGGATATTTAGGCATATTCCCAACATAATTCAAATATATCATATCAGTTTTTGTTTCTTTTGTATGTGTGAAGTTAATTTGCAAATTTTCTTGTTATTTGTTCTTTGTCATTCACTCCTATTTTTTTATGTTCTGTTTTCAATAGTTTCAAAATCTGTTGATACCCAATCCATCTCTACATAAGGATTGGAGAAAATTTCTACAATTGCGATTTTTAACATCATAAATATAAGAAAAATTAAGAAATTGATAAAGTTGATATTCGAGTAAGAGGGTAGTCTTCTTTTCTTATAATCTTTCTACTTTCTTTTCACTGTTCTTAATTTTTTTTCACACATTAATTTGAGATTTGATAATCAATTGAAGCCAATTCTAGATGTATATTCCACAAATTTTCACTTACATGTTCATTGTTTACATTATTTAGTTATTTCTTTTTGTTTTTCTTAGAAATTGAAAGTGTCAAAATTTATATTATTTAATTATATGACATTGTCTATAATATTATTTTTTTTCTCTCTATATCACATCACTTATTACTTTATGAATAATACTTTTTTTTTTTTTGCAATTTTCAACCAAACAGGCTTAGTGAAACTGCAGAATTAAGAAAGTTGAGTAACATACATCTGATCTTCTACATTTTATTTACATAGGAGGAAGAGAATATATTGAAGGAGATGAAGAAATTGCCGGATGAAAAAAAAAATATCTTCCACAAGAATTGAAAGATATGTTGATGCTCTCCACGTTCAATGAAATATCCCTCATGTTTTCTTTAGTTGTTTCTATCGCTTTTGTTGCTTTCTATAACATATACGAATCTTAAAATTTGTATAATATCTTTTCTCTAATTGTTTCATTTTCCTCCTTTTTTTCATTTCAATCTGACGGTTATAAGATAAAAATGATACAAACAAAGTTATAAAGGGACAAAATTCAAAAAATTATTTAAAAAAGGACTAAAATTAAAAAACCTCTATTTTATGTGGACTAAAAAGTATTTTAAGTCTTCATTTTTTTTATTACTTTTTAAATTTTTTCTTGCTGATTATCTACTAAAATGTCCCTTTTCTTTGGTACACTATGATACTAGATTCGGAAAGCTGGAAGAATGCAACTTTATTATTCGGTTGTTAACAATATGCATGCACACGAAATGAATAAAATTTTCAAACCTCTATTTTTGTAATTATTTACATGGAATCACTTTGAAAACTACTCTGTCACCATATATGCTAGTGCCTCTAAGACTACGTTAAGCTTGACAAATAATTTGTCCGGAGTACCTACACCCGTATTCAAAACATTCTCCCATTCGTACATTTAGACAAAAACATTAATTTACGATTCAAAGTTAACTTTCCTATAAATGTCACAAATAATCTTGGTACAACCACAACACATCTTTCTCACACTTCATTAACCAACCTGAAGCAGTTCTTCCCATAATTGTCACACTACACTACCAGCCACCATGGTATCCAAAAATCATTTGTATCATATTTCATTGGCCATGCTTTTGTGCATGACATTCTGGGCTCTTCAAGTCTCATCTCGCTCTCTCCAAGATGCCTCCATGTATGAGAGACATGAGCAATGGATGCTTCGTTATGACAAAGTGTATAAGGACCCTCAGGAAAGGGAAAAGCGTTTCAAGATATTCCAGGACAATGTGAATTACATTGAAGCCTTCAACAATGCTAACAATAAACCTTACAAGCTAGGTATTAATCAGTTTTCAGACCTCACCAATGAGGAGTTCATAGCACCAAGAAATAAATTCAAGGGCCACATGTGTTCCTCAATCACAAGGACTACAACTTTTAAGTATGAAAATGTGACTGCAGTACCATCCTCTATAGATTGGAGACAAAAAGGAGCAGTGACACCCATCAAGGACCAAGGCCAATGTGGTTAGTGCTTGATGACTTTTAAAAAGTCAAATTAAATTGAATAACTATTATCTAACTATTAATTTGTCTTGCAGGATGTTGCTGGGCATTTTCTGCTGTTGCAGCAACGGAAGGAATTCATAAACTGAGTACTGGAAAATTGTGTCTCTTAGTTTGTCCCATTACTCCTATTTCATGGCCCTCCTTCTTATATATGCATGATTACAACAATTTAGGACCAACCGAAATCATTCACATCCTAAAGCATTTGAAATTCTAAAACATCCACTTTCAAGTCCCAACACATGCTAAACGACTATGGGTGGTCTAATAATTCTCTCTCCCACGATCTCTTCTCTCATTTATATTATGGTTCTGATACCTTTATCTGTAAGTCAACTCCTAACCATTACTCGTTTTTCATTCCATAATAATTGAATGATAAGAACAACGGTTCATGCAGGGGATACAGTGATATACAAGACTAATTGAAGGAATCAATGCTTAAAAGTTCAAAGGATGTGTCGAATTGTAAATAGTATTATGATGTCTAAATTTTATAATTATGCTGTTGGGTACGAAGCTTGCATTGCAACCGCTTGAAGCCACCTCCATTCTCACTGCTTAGGAAATCTAGATTGTGGCTCAATGCTTATGAGTCATCTAAGCATTACAAGGAAAAGGTGAAGTTGTATCATGAAAGAAATATCTTAAAACGAGAGTTTCAGCCGGGACAACTTGTGTTCCATTACAACTCCCAGTTGAAACTATTTCCAAGGAAGCTGAAGTCAAAGTGGTCAGGGCCATTCAAATTTAAGCAAGTTAGGCCTCAAGGAGCAATACAAGTGGAGGATCTTGCCTCTAAAGAGAGCTGGGTGGTAAATGGCCAAAGACTCAAACTCTACCTAGGCGGTGAAATTGAGCGAGCTCATTTCACCGTTGAATTGAACAACCCTTGAAGTCTTGGCTTGTCAAGCTAGTGACATAAAACGAGCGCTTTATGGGAGGCAACCCATCATTTGCATGCCTTTAAATTCAACTATTGTGTGTTAGTGTGTTTCAGGTGTAGGTACATGGTTTATCATTGTGTTTGCTTCTTAGTCGAGAAAGCATTGTGATCGTGAGGGCTTGAGGAACTTCATGTTGAGCTATGCTTGAAAATTTTGAAAATTTGTAGAAAAATTGAAATCCACGCTTAGCATGAAGTTCCAAGCTAAGCTATATCAGTGCAGAGGTAGAAAAATAGCTCTCTGGAGGTGCCAAGCTAAGCCTCAGTCCCACGCTTAGCCTCAAAACTTAAACTTGGAAACTAGGAGTTCTCTCTGGAACTCCCACGCTTAGCTTAAAACCCACGCTCAGCGTGGACGTGGCAGAGTAATTGGCTCCTGGAGCTCCCACGCTAAGCCCCAGTCCCACGCTTAGCCTGGGAGTTCCTTTTTAATTAAATGTTGTCACACTCTCTCTCCAGATGCCTATTTCTTTTCTTTTACCACTACTCAACCCCTCACAAACACTCTCAAACCCTAAGTCTCTTTCTTTGCTTCCTTGGCCGTGTTGCTCTTGGTGTGGGTAGGCTCCATTTTCTCTTTTCTTGTTCATCAAAGGCGTGAAGGTAAGTCTCTTTCCTTAACTTTGTGTGGTTCCTTCCCTTGTATGTTTCTTGGTTCCCATTCTTATTTTTCCCTAATCATCTAATCCCCCCTACCCATTTTCGTGCAAACCCTTGTATCCATGGTGTTCTTGAGCTTATTTTCATGGTTGTTGTTCATTGATGAGATTTGCACATTTGGGATGGTATATTTTTGAATGGGTCTTCTTCAAGCCCTTGGAAACATTTCTTTTGTGAATGCCCAGTAAAAGATCTATGTTTTTGTGTGTTTTTGCTTGTGAAAGACGCGTTCTTGGGCCGAAAAGAGGAGCCAAGTACTGCAACAATGATGCTGAGTGTGGGGTCTGACGCTCAGCGTGGCTATGGCAGCCCCATCTCATTTTTCTGCACTTCTCATGCTAGGCGTGATAATGGTGCTGAGCGCCCTTTTTGGCAACCACATTTGGCCTCTTTTTGTCATACTCTTGTGCTTTAATGGGTGAATTTTAGAAGCCTTCTTTGTTCACACTTTAAATTGAGTTGGTGGTCATGTTCACTTTGATTCACTTATTTTGTTTTTGTAGCATGGCTAGGAGGCCCATGTGATTTTTGGCCCCTCTTGCTGTTAGAGTGTTACCATTTGATTTCATGCGGTTGATTTTGCTTGAGTCTCTTTTAAGTTTGCATAGCATATGTTGTTTAGAGATGATCAAGGCAATTTTTCTTGTAAATTTGAGCCACTTGACCAAAAAGCCAACCTAACAAAAAAGTAATCCATTGCACCCTACTTTGAGCCAAACAGTGAATTTATTGAGAACCTTGAAGCCCTTAAGAAAAACAAAATTCTCCCACACCTTAGGAATAGGAGAGCAGTCATATTGATCATAAGGAGAGAAAAGTCTTAAGTTTGGGGTATTTTGGGGTGATCATTGTTGTTGAGCATATGGATAATTGTTGCATGTTATGGTTGTACCATTGTGGCCATTAGTCAATTGTTATTCAAATCAAAAAGAATTTCAAAAATCAGGAAAAAAAAAGGAAAAGAAAAAAAATCAACAAAAAATTCAAAAGAAAAAAAAATCAAACATCAAAAAGTGATTAAATTGTGTGAATAAGTGTGTTGTATGATCTATATGCTTTGGGTGAAGGTAGTATCTTGGGACTTCTGGGGATAGAGAAAGGAAGAAGAATTATACATGGTGATCATTAAGACTTGCTCTTCTACTCCTGTGGTGTCTTTTGTTTACCCAGAAAAACCAATTTCTTTTGTTAGCCCAGCCACATTACAAACCATGAAAGACCTTGTGATCTATGCATGATTATGTGACTGTTTGAATTTGATTGAGATGAAAAGCAAAGTTGACTTGTGTGATTCATTTGTGTAAATTTGAGAGATTCTCACCTAAATACACTTGTGTGATGAGAGAAACACTAATCTTGGTGAGGAAGAGGTTGTTCACTAATTTTCATTAGTATCATTGCCATGCTTGTTAATCCTTTTGGGAACTGTTGCAATACACTTCTGATATCAAATTGTGTGGGCACCACATTAATTGGCTGATCAAGTGTAAACATTTTCTGGTGTTCAACTATTGGAAGACATGTATGGCTGTTGTGTGATTACCAATTTTCAAAGCGTGTTCAATTAGGAGATTAGGTTGTGTGTTAACTTAGTTGCTTTATTTTTCTTTGCTTGAGGACAAGCAAGATCTTAAGTTTGGGGTATTGATAAGTGCTATGATTTCATTAAGTTTATGGCTTAGTTTGAAACACTTATCTTAATTTTCCTTGCTTTAGACCTTGTTTTTAACTCAAAACATCTCTAAAAGTATTAGTTGATCACATTTTGTCTTTGAATCATGTTTTTAGGTAACTTGCAAGTATTTGATTGTTGTTTTGTAGTTTAGGATAAAGCTAGGAAAGAAGGAAGGAAGTCAAGCACAAAGTGGTGAATTTGAAGTCGAAAGAATTTTTGGTTTAAGTTCCCAGGCTAAGCCCCAGATCCACGCTTAGCCTCAGCATGGCAGACAATCCCTGGAATAGAATTTTGATCCCCACGCTGAGCGTGGAACTGAGGCTGAGTGTGGGAGTCCCAGAACCTCATTTCACTCCAAACCTATCCCCAAGCTTAGCGTGGCTCTCACGCTTAGCGTGGATTGTGCTGACATGTCATTATTCACATAAGACAAAAGCTTTTATGACCTAAAAGTGGGATTTTCGAGGAGAGAAGGAAGGAGGATCATTCTTGGACGTTGTGTGGCGGTTGGAGAGCTCTGAAACCTTTAAGATCAAGCTTCTTCCTTTATTCATCATTTGTAGAGTTCTACATGTCTATGTGTAGCTAAACTCACCCTTGTTGGGGTTTGATGTAACTAAACCCATTCTCATGTGTAAACTCTAAGCTATCAATCTAAGTTTTTATTCAGTTTTATTGCTCTTTTTATATGCATAATGCTTGTTATGGCTTGATCACCCTTAACTTGAACTTAAGGTTTTTAAGAGATTGAGAAATGATTTTAAACCTTTGACTTGAAATAGAGCAGCTAATGGTGTTTACTGCTAGAGATATAGTAAATGTCATTGGTCTTTCTTAAGCTCTTGTTTTTAAAGCTGGTTTCTTGGTTAAATTATGCAAGAGATTGATAGTTTAAGTTAGAAACTTAGATGCCAACTTGTAAGAGATTAGGGTTGGTTACTTTTGAGAGTGATTGATAAATTCTGAATAATAACTATTGTGAACTTAATGATAAGCATGAGAGGAAGGTTTAGTGAAGTCAAACCCCAACAATTTATTAATATTGCATTAGAATCAAGTTTTGCACTCTAAGTATTTACCAAAATACCAAAAAGAATTGTTATTGCTTGTTTACATTATTTACTACAGTAAATCAAACTCTTATTGCTTTTTGGTAGCTTAGTTAGTATAACAAGTGAAATTGCAAAGTGTTGCGCAAGTCCCTTGGGAGACGATACTCATACTTTCATTGAACTACTTATTCGATTTGGTACACTTGCCAAAGGAGATAACAGTTATATTGATCCGTTAGAAAGTCCTCTAAGACTACAGCATATGCCCTTGTCTCTTAGTTTGTCCCATTACTCATATTTAATGGCCGTCCTTCTTATATATGCATGATCAAAACAATTAAGGACCAACAGAAATCGTTCACATCCTAAAGCATATGAAATTCCAAAATCTCTATTTTCAGGTCCCAACACATACTAAACAACAATGGGTTTTCCTTTACTAGGTGTCCAAAGGGCATTATTTGCAGCTAACCAGACAAATTCATAAGTGGTTTTACGTACTTTGCCAAAGGGCCATCTTACAGTCCATGTTGGGGAGAAAATGGACTGTAAGATGGTGGATATATGCTTTAGAAATAATATTATTGTATATAGCTACCATGTACCATATTATATATATATGAGATATATAATTCATTTCAAGTGGGGAAAACTGTTAACCTTCACATATGCACTTGTCTCTTAGTTTGTCCCATTACTCATATTTCATGGTTTTCCTTCTTGTATATGCATGATTACAACAATTTAGGGCCCACAGAAATCATTCACATCCTAAAGCATTTGAAAGGGCCATCTTGCTGTCTCAGATGTCATTGTCAAGGATTAGGAAGTTCAATCTGGGTGCACACTAATGAACTACTGTTTATT